CTCCCTCCCTCCCTCTTTCCCTTTCTCTCTCTCCATCCATCCACCCACATATAGGCTCACTAAATAGATCACCTTCTTTCTACATCAACATTCTACACTTATTGCTGGTGTAACCTCTGGGTCCAATTTACAAGTTTCTAAAGCATCTGGTGCATTTCAAGAATAGCCTCAAAGCAACTCATCAGCCTACTGAGTTTCAATATGCAAATAGGGGGCGGGTTACACTTATTTATCCTAAGAGGCCTAAATTCCATCCGAGAAAAACCAAGGCCAGCTCTGGCGATGAGCAAGCAAGATGGGTGGTCACCAAAGGCCACCCACGAACGAGGACCTACTTTAATGCCTCCAATACGGTGCTCCCCTTTGAATTCTTTGTCATTTTTCAGCCAGGATATGGAAGGAAGCGGCTTGCCAGCTGACGGGCACCGGAAACGGACAGTATTGGCAGCCGGCACTGCCAAAAGCTTCTTTTCCATTCTGATAGGATGGGTCCAATAAGGCGCCACTGCAAATACAAAGCAGAATCAGAGTCGTCAGCTGAGAAAGACGGTGGGTCTTCAGCTACTGAGTTAGGGGGTCTTATCTCCACCAGCTTCCTATCAGGGATGGCCTCCTAACTTGAATTGAACAGCAGTTCTCAGCAGTCCTTAGCACAAGGGTCCCCAACCCCCGGTCCGTGGACCAGTACCGGGCCGCAGCACGCCAGCAGTCGATCCACACAAACAAGCAAAGCCCCATCCATGAGATGCAGGCAGTACATGAAACCAGGCCCCCTCCGGTTCGCGGAAAACCCTCTCTCCATGGAACCAGTCCCTGGTGCCCAAAAGGTTGGGGCCTCTAGGCCTTAGCAGGTGAGGAGGTGATAAGCCACCTGGGAAAGCCGAGGGAAATCATCAAAACAATTAAAAAATGAAAATTAGAATATTTCGGACATGTGATGCGACACCCAGAAAAATACAGCATACTCCATTTAATCCTCCAGGGAAAGGTTGAAGGCCAACGAGGTCCAGGCAGAAGAAGAACATCGTGGCTTCAAAATCTAAGGGACTGGTTTGGACAAAACTCAGCAGCACTTTTTCGTGCGGCTGCTGATAAAAACAGGATCACCAACATGATCGCCAACGTCCGATAACGGATATGGTACAAAAAGAAGACGAAGGCCTTAGCAGCAAAATCAAAACTGAAGGATGATGTGGGTTTGGAGGACTACACGTTACCCATCCTAGGGTAAAAGGACTTCTCCATGGGCACAATTAAGCCTAGGATGAAGATGAGAAGAGCAGCTTCAGAGAATGCACCACAGGCCACTTGAAAAGCCAAATGTCTGTGGAGATTCTCCGTCCTCCAGGTCAAGGTTGTCCCAAAGGTGCTTTTCCAAAAAGCAACTGGACTTCCTTGGTTTCCTCTTTGAAAACATTTTGCTTCTCATCCAAGAAGCTTCTTCAGTTCTGCAGATCCAATCTGAGTCGGTCACCGAGTCCAAAGGTTTTGTCTTCCAAGCTTTTGGACTGGAGCCCATCTTTGGGGACCTTCTCTCTCTCTTCAGTTCTGAAGAAGCTTCTTGGATGGTCTTCAAAGAAAAACAAGGAAGTCCAGTGGCCTCTTGAAAACAGCACCTTTGGGACAACCACGACCTGGATGACTTGAGAACCTCGATAAGACATTTATCATAGCTATCATAGAATAAAATTCAAGTGAAAAGAAGATACTATGATCAAACTGTCATCGTGTTCCTGAGTGAACCCCACGAGCCAACAGAAGGAAATTAGCAGATGGAAGCCTTCCTTTCTTTATCCCTTGGGGATCAAAACTGAATCTCAGATGATGGACAGGAAGTGTGACCTTCCTGAGGCCAGAAGGTCACGGGGTGCAGCCATCGGCCGGAGGGGGCAGCGAATCTGCTGAGTTGGCTCCGATAGTCCCAACAAAGAAAACGTTTGGGGCAGCTATAATCGCCGGCTAGAGACCTCGCGGTGGGATTTGCCAATTAGGAGTCAAGTCAGAGCACAAACCCAAAGCAATTTCATGGGATGGTGGCTTCAGAGAATGGTCAGCAAGCGCCAGAGTACATCCTCACAGTGAGCACAAAGCCGCGAAGATTAACTTTGCAGGCTGGACAAAATGCTGACAACACAGACACATCTGGACAGTCTGTCTCCTGCCCAATCGCAAAAATAACACAAAATGCCATCTGCAGCTGAAGACCACGCAACCTACAGCTTCCTGAAGTGAATCCGCTGGCCTGAAGCCTACAGGAAAGACAAGACTAAGCACCCAGAACATCTGTAGATGTTCAGCAAAAAGTTAAGAAGAACACAGAGAGAGAAGATGACTGAAATAAGAAAAACACTCAGTGAGAGCATTTCATAGATCAGTGGTGGCGAACCTATGGCACGGGTGCCAGAGGCGGCACTCAGAGCCCTCTCCGTGGGCACGCGCACCATCGCCCCAGTCCTAGGCCTTCAGCTGGGTTTTATAAAACCTTTTCGCTTTAGGCCTCCGTCGCTGTGTGCAAAAAAAAAAAAGGTTCAGTCAATCAGTCAATTTCAACTTCTCGCGGGGAAAAAAAAGATCTTGCAAAGTTGGAATTGATTGATTGAACTTTTCAGTCCCACCCAGTCTGCCATTATCACTGCAGCCACGCCCACCCAATGGGCCACGCCCACCCAAATGGTCACACCCACCCAATGGGCCACGCCCACATAAGTGGGTTTTGGGTTGCAGTTTGGGCACTCGGTCTCTAAAAGGTTCGCCATCACTGGGCTATGGCTTCCAGCATCTTCACAATCAGATTGTCAAACCTGGTTTATCAAATGACAGGGTTTCAGGAAGGGGAGTGAGTTGTTTGTCCCAAGAGCCTCCTCTTGCCATTTTTATCCTTCGTATCTCGCCCCAAACAGTTCCCAAATGTTTCCAAACTTCCAAGCTTGTCCATGTATAGACCTCTCAAAAATAAAAAAAGTATGGAAACTGAGGGGAAAAAAACCAAGGAAACGAAAAGTATTTATTTCTAAGAGTGCAAGTTTACTAATGACCAGTCAGCCAACGTAACAAGCACCAATAGAACAAAAATGACTTCCTTGTCCCAAAGGTGCTGTTTTCAAGAGGCCACTGGACTTTCTTGTTTTTCTTTGAAGACGTTTCGCTTCTCATCCAAGAAGCTTCTTCAGCTCTGATTGGATGTCTTTTAAAAGACAAAGGCAGCTCTTTTGAAGACAGCAAAGTCCACATTTTGGACAGAGAGGACCTCTGGTTTGAAAGAGGGGTCAAAGAGGCCCTCTATGTCAAAACTGAACAGCCCTCCCTCAACAGAGGGGGAGGGACAAGACACAATCTATCTCCAGTCTACAACATGGTCCTTTCAGGAGTTCCAAGAAGGATCCACACCCATTTGCACCACTCAGGTGACCCTGAGGATGCAGGTAAACCTCCAGGTGGCCTCAAAGACCCTGTAAAAGAAGGCAAAGGACCAGCTGTCTGCAAGGAGTATAAAGCCTTCCATTCCCCCACCATTCAGTCAGAACCTGAAGAAGCTTCTCTTGGATGAGAAGCGAAACGTCTTCGAACAAAAAACAAGGAAGTCCAGTGGCCTCTTGAAAAAGCACATTTGGGACCTTGGATGACTGAGAGTCTCCACAGACAAGGACTTCCTTGATTACAGCAAAGTGTTGGCCAATGCTGCCATCATTGGACTTAGGCACCCAGTTTCAGCTAATCCACACCAACCTGCAGGCTGAAGCTTTAGGTCATGTTGCTACAAGCCATGCATGCAATAACTGCACACGTGTGTAATATGTGACACGGCAATCATTCAGTCTGGCTGAACCAAGTCATTTCACAGGAGCCTGAATTTTGCAAAGCATCCCATCTCACTTGTTTGAACTCATCCCCGAGAAAGCCTTTTATTCTGAGATGTTATGCTTGCACTCTTTATTGGGATGTCAGAGGGTTGAACCGGGGAACTAATCTGTGTTTTTATGTGCAAGAGAGAGCACAATAACAGACAGTGCCTCTTTTTTTCCAGTTTTGCAAACAGTTATCGTTAAGCCATAAACCTTTCTCCAGACTCATGCTGCCCAAGCATTCTGCTAATATTTAAAAAATGAAACTTTTTTTTAAAAAGAGATCTATGCCTAATGCCCCACCTCAGATGGGGACTGCAGCCAAGAAATTA